ATTCTTTGTAATTATCAAAATTATTTAAATGAATGTAAATAACAATTGCATTAATTTTATATTCTTGGTTTTTATTAAAAAATTTTGCATCGCGCCGCATTGCACGGGTACACAACTAGTAATAATAAATATATATGTTTATTTATATTAAAATATGTTAAGGGTGGACCCTTTACGCACTAAGCACCGACCGATGCTAAACCATCAATCAGTGTCACATCAAAGGGGTCATGTCATCAGATTTGAAAAAATATTTTTTTTTTGGCAAAAAAGCCCCCTACGCACCAAGYAGTGTGTAGTGCTAAATGGGGAGCCATTTTTGGAATATGATTTTTTGTAGGTTATTTTATAACTAAAACTTTTTGGAGAGTTAATTTAGCCAAGATTCCAATGAAAGTGACAAGAGAAAGATTAATACAAAAAGAAATGACTTAAAATGGAACAAACATATCTTTATCGGATCTCGACCTTTTGCTTAAGATCAAATATAGTAAATGTTTTTCTTAGTTTAACACATCTTTCTTGAATCTTAGGCTTTTTGTTTAGATCAAATATGTTATATGTTCATCTTAGTTTCATATCTAATATTTGGGTTTTCAACTTGCTTGGTATTTTATTTTTTATACGAGAATGCTCATTATGGTGAGTAGCTACTTATCCGTCCTCTTCGTTCTTCATGCATTGCCTATTATTGTTGTTACTATAGCTTACGCACTGTTGGAATCCTATAAATTATGTCCTTGATCATTTGTATGTTTATTTACACATATATAATTTTTATTAATATTATTCCATTATTGCATATTGGTCCCTATAATTTCTGGAGGGACTTGAGTGCAAATATAGGGGAGTTAATATGATGGAGAGTTGCACCCCTTGGATTACATATATATAGTGGTGGTTATCCCTTTTTGTTTTCTCACGTTGCTTTTTTCCCTCAAGACTCTCAATGGAATTCTCTCATCATTAGAGGGAACAAAATACATGAACAATCAATCCATCAATTAAGCAACAAAGAGAAACAATCAGAAGGAAACCAAAATTAGTTCTTCATGGCTTCTTCAAGTGGAATAAAGACAAACACTCCACCAAGTAAGTTTTACTTAATTTGTTGTATTTATGAATTTATATGTTTGATTAGGGATTCTTATGCATATATCTGTGATTTCCAAATTTGAATTATATGCCTCATTCTGAATTTGAATTATGTGCCCTTATGAGATATGAATATTTGTATTATGATCTCTGCAAATCCTTTTGACATTGCTTTGGACACTTTACATCCTAGCAACATGACTGATATGCCTTCTTATATATTTATATATGTATTTTGATTGTTTCTCCAACAATCATGACAATGCATTGGTGATATATGTATTATAATTTATACTTAAAATGTTATGCTAATCAAGATTAAATTTATTTTAGATAGTGAAACCAACGAGAACCTATCCGGAATAAGTGAAATAAATATATAATACATTGTTTAGATTGAAATTTAGGAGACCCAACGGAAACCTATTTGATGATTTAAATGATGGAATTTTAGCATGATTTGCCTATCTATTACATTGTTTACCCAACGGTACTATATGAAAGATATGTATGCGTAGTTTTTTTATGAGATATTACACTAAATTATTGATTGATCCAACGAGAGATCAGTAATCTAGTATAATGTTTCTATCGCCTATGCTTTGTGTGTTTTAAATAGGCTTAATTTTATTTTACTGATACGCTTAATACCTTGTATTCTGAATTATAAATTATAGTATCATCTTATAAATGTGGCCGGTATGCTGGGGAGATATCAAGCAAATCCTAGCTTGGACCATTGGAAAGCTGCTAAGAAAGTCCTACGATATTTACAAGGGACAAAAGGATACAAACTAACGTATCGGAGATCGGATAATCTTAAGGTAATAGGATATTCAGACTCCGTTTTCGCTAAATGCAAAGATGATAAGAAATCCACATCAGGATACATTTTCATGCTATCAGAAGGGCCGATTTCATGGAGGAGTTGTAAGCAACAGTTGACGACTACCTCGACTATGATGGCGGAATATGTGGCTTGTTATCATGCAAGTTGTCATGCAATGCTATTCAGGAATTTGATAGGTGGAGTTAAAGTTGTACATTCTATATCAAGGCCATTGAAGCTTTATTAAGATAACAATGCAGCTGTTAGTTTCTCGAACAGTAACAGTTCGAGTGGTGCAGGATTGTATCTTGACACAAAATACTTATTTGTGCGAGAATGAGTTGAGGAAGGAACCATTAGTATTGAGTATGTGAGTACACATGATATGCTAGCAGATTCACTCACGAAAGGTCTACCCCCTAAGGTGTTCACTGAACATGTCGTCAAAATGGGTTTACAACAAGATCTTGTATGATGTAGTATTCTACTCAATACATAATTAATTTACGTAACTTATGTATTATTTTAAAGCGCAGTGATTTGCTTATCCTCAAACAAAGTTTGTCCTTATTTATTTGTTTGTTTAGTGTGCACAATAACTTTTGTTTCAGACAAACTTGTAGATACCATCAGGCTATATGTCTCTATGTTAAATATGCAAAKGATCTTTCGGCCAAGTGGGAGAATGTTGGAATCCTATAAATTATGTCCTTGATCATCTGTATGTTTATTTACACATATATAATTTTTATTAATATTATTCCATTATTGCATATTGGTCCCTATAATTTCTGGAGGGACTTGAATGCAAATATAGGGGAGTTAGTTTGATGGAGAGTTGCACCCCTTGGATTACATATATATATATATATATATATAGTGGTGGTTATCCCTTTTTGTTTTCTCATGTTGCTTTTTTCCCTCAAGACTCTCAATGGAATTCTCTAATCATTAGACGAAACAAAATATATGAATAATCAATCCATCGATTAAGCAACGAAGAGCAACAATCAAAAGGAAACCAAAATTAGTTCTTCATGGCTTCTTCAAGTGGAATAAAGACAAACACTCCACCAAGTAAGTTTTACTTAATTTGTTGTATTTATGAATTCATATGTTCGATTAGGGATTCTTATGCATATATTTGGGATTAAGTTAACACGCACCCCTTTAATTTTCACTTGAACATTATGGGATGTTTTTATTTGTCATAACTTCAAATTAGATTTCTATTAAATTTGTTACAAAAATTAAAACGGTGACTTTATATCACCTCAGATGAGATTTCTATTAAAACTTTGACTTCTAATTAAACAAACTACAAATATTAGTTAACATTTGTAGAGTAATTTGCATGATTGTTCTCGAACATAGTTAAAGAACCTAAATTAACATATGGTCGTAAGATTGTTGTCAACTTTTCTTAAGAAGTTTTAAAATTAATGAGTAGTGGTCGCACACATATACCTAAAATTTGCTTAGAAAATAACTTCAAATTTTGGTTTATAACATTCCTTTTGAAGATAAGATTATTAACACAGCACAACATTTAATATGGAGAGAAAATAATTTGATAATCTTAGCATTTCTTTCATCGCTTCTCCAAGATTGTTAATTTTGCCAGGTGCATTGCATCCCATGCTTGTACGCGTTAAACATGTTTGTACACGTTAGGATGTTAAATATTATTGGTTCCCATAGGCATTATCTTTTATTAAAATAGAAAAAGTTCAAAAACTGCAATAATAAACTACTAATATTTTAAAGTTAAAAACAACGTTAAATATGTTTTACTGTTTCTAAATCATACGTCATTCAAACCTCTTGCACCTCAATGACATCGCTCCCTGGCCACTCCTCCTCAACCCATAATCATCTGCTCTGAATCACCATCGTTGCCCCCCACCACTAATATAAAGTACTTTGATTGGTGGCGACGGAGAATTAAAACCAAAAAAAGATAGAGGGAGGTAGATGGCAGGGGCCAATTATAGCGATGGGCGGTGATGGGAAGCAAGTGCCGATGGAGCGATGAGGGGAGCAATGTCATTGGTTACGAGGTGTTTAAATGGCTTACGTTTTTAGAACCGGTGAAACTGATTTAGGTTTTTTTTTTGTATTTTAAAATCGTCTTGACATGTTATATGTAGTTTTTGGATTAAAATGTAGGTATTAATTTCTAAAAATTCGATGGTTTATTTATTAAAAAAATTAGAAACTTAATCATTCAAAATAAAAAAGTTTAACGGTTATTTACTAAAAAAATGTTTTAGACTTCATTATTAAAAATAAAAAAGTTTATTGAAAACTTTTATCTTATTAAAATTGGTAAATAATTTGTCAAGTTTTGAAAACGAGAAGTTGTAACTTTAGAAAAAAAGGATTAGGCATGGAAATAAGATCCATCCTATTGGGGAATCCGATATACTCGTTCCGATAGGATCGGGGATTCCCTGTAAAACCAAGGATTGGGGATGTGGACAGAGTCAAGTAACGTAATTTCCACCACGTCTCTGTATATTAAATATATTATATAAATTGTTATTAAATATAATATTCCTAAAGAAATGATATTTTCTTCTTTTTTCTTGGATGCATTTCTGACTTATCTTATTGTTTTAGATAAAAGAAATGGAAAGTCGAAAGTATTTGATGAAACAGTCATGTATAATGCTGTCATTTTATTCACTTATAAATATTTGATACTCTGTTAAAAGCAAATTTTAAAAATATATGAGATGTAAACATGGAGCATTATTAATCGAGCATAGTGTTTAACAAATCTGATTTAAAATGTCTCACATAAATAAGAAAAAATCCTTTGATCCTCCATTAGGAATCCCCGTTCCCTAAGGAATGTGTTCATATTCCTCAACTGAGACGGGCCGGATGGAGATTGAGATCGACAACAGGTTCGAGGATGGGAATGGTGATCGGGGTCCTCACCCCATTAATTCCATGCGTAGGAAGCATCATGGAAAGCACCTAGTGGTCAAATTCTAGCCTCTAATTATATTATCCTCTTTCTCGCATCTCTCTCTCCCACATATAACATAACTAAAGAAGTTACAAAAGTATGGTGATTCTCACCGGAAAACAACTTCTATTTTTCTATCTTAAATTCATGTACCTAATCAATGTTCATGTCAAAGCACAACCCGAATACCTTTACCATATCTGCCGCAACGCTACTACTTATACCCCCAACAGTAGTTACGCTAGAAATCTTGATGCCACCATCTCTTCCCTCTCCAACACAAACTCTGGCTACGGGTTTTTTAACTCCTCTGAAGGTCAACGGCCTGATACAGCCAACGCAATCTCACTTTGTCGAGCAGACGTGGATCAAGTCTTGTGCCGAAGATGTTTGAATGAATCTATTGTTCAGTTAAGACAATCTTGTCCTAATCAAAGAGAAGCAATAACATATTATGATATTTGTCTCTTGAAGTACTCTAATGCCACTATATTGGGAAATTATGATACGAACAAAGATGTTGTCTACATGTGGAACGTTAACAACGCATCTGATAAGGAGGTTTTTACTTGGGCTCTGCTACCGTTGATGAGAAAATTGAGTGGCGAAGCAGCTGCTGGTGATTCATTGCTGAAGTTTGCTATTGGTAACACAACAGGACCAGATTTTGCAACAATATACGGCCTTGTACAGTGTATTCCAAATCTATCGCGGTACCAGTGCTTGGACTGTTTGGATTCTGCAATTTATCAAATTCAATCCTGTTGTGATAGGACAATTGGAGGAAGAGTTCTTACGGCAAATTGTAACTTCAGGTTTGAGACATATGAATTTGGCATCAACACCTCACTTATCCCCTCCCCACCATCTCCGCCATTATCATCATCACCACCACCACCACCACCACCACCACAAGTTTTACAGCCGTCTCCGCAGGTTCCACCAACGCCAGGTATGCATGATGTATGCCCTAAATGTCATTGTTTAATTTAAATATGTACTAAAATATATAATTCGTGCGTGGGTTCCGGTGAGAACGAGAAACGTAAGAATAGATCTCCTCCTTTGGATCAATTCTCATTGAATGTCAACACTAATAACGTGCACCGAATCAATTTTCTTTTAAAGCGCAATTCATGAGTCGACATGAGATTAAAAGTGATCGAGAGTTCAGATCTCTTCTTACGTTTCTCGCATCAACTCTTTTTCTCACATGATCTTTCATCTATAACGATTGGCTCTCGAGCCTGCAAAACCAAGACTTGGAGAAAAATAAGTCAACTATCATAATAAATAGATATTTGAAAAGATAAAAGGAAAACAAACAGAAAAGAAAGGGATAGATCAATCACATCCGTTGAGAAAAACATACATGGTGGAAAATTCAACAAAATAGCTAATCCTTGTTATCCAAATTCATTTTTTATCCAATTTTTAATGTCTCGTTTTTGAAATAGTCAAAGTTTGCATAGAAATTTAAATCTTCACATAAAAATTTGACTTATGGAAAAAAAAAAAACAATAGAAAAAAACACAAAAGTTTGAAAGAGGTTTCTACATAAGGTTTGTTTTTAATTTTTTTTACCGAAATCATTCCTTACGATAATGCATAAGGATTATGTGTAAACTATGATTGTTTCGCAAAATGGGTTTCTAACATGGCTAGAAAATGAATTGAGTTTGATGAATCGACTATTTTTATCAACTTCCTAACATGGGCGACTATAGATGGATCCAAACGTAAATGCATCTTCAAGTTTTTACTATTTACCCTACTCATTTTTGCATCGGATAAACGGACAGCATTTTAATCGAAGACTTTTATCAAATGAAGCAGTTCATAAATAAGAACTATAGGCATGGATCTCTTCCTCTCAATGGAGTGTGAAAAGAAAAAGCGGTCCATAGACATGGAGGAAAACCCCGTTCTAGATGCTCATTAATCAAAACTTCTTATCCACCATACTATTTATAAAGGTGGCGTTTGTTTTTAAGATGTGTTGAAGTCTGATTTTACTTCTGATTTATAAGAGGTGATCTTGAAGTCTAAAATCTGGATCAATAAAATTATTTGTTTTTACGTTTGAAGTCTGAAATCTGAATCGGTCAAATTTGTACAAAAATATAAAAGATAAATAGTTTTTTTTATAAAAGTATAAAAGATGAATAGTTTTTGCTAACAAATCTTTCCGATACCCAAAATATGAACCATGTGATAGAGGACAGATTATGATTAAGATGTATTAAAGGATACATTTACCACTTAAAATTTCAAAGTGCATTTAGAGCCTTTTAAGCTCTTGTTTTAAAAATAAAACAAGAGATATTAAGAGGTAGTTTTGAAAAAGAAACATGCCCAAAGCCTTTTAATTTTTATTTTATCCTCCTCATGTGATCATATATTCATTTTAAGCTTTTACCATTTTCTAATTAATCTAATTTTTATTAAATATTCAAAATAAAAATAAACATTTTTATAGTAATATTATAAAGCTTTCTCCGATGCGATTTAAATGACATCAATATCAAAAATAAAAAAACATAAATATCACATAGTCGTATTTATAGGGATTAATCATTTGAGAACTCCATATCTGTGATAACCGTGAAAACTTTGATCTAAAAGTATCGACTCACATGATATTTTCTCATCTAATACTAACATTAAATGTATTGATGAACATATTTGTTTCACAATGTATTTGCTTCATATGTATGTGATTAATAATATGAAACTTTTTTACATATCACCTTTTTTTTTCACAAATAGACGTCTATAAATAAATTACCGGCAAATTATCCACTAGAATGTTATATGTGGGTCCGTCGTCGAACTCAAGCCAATTAAGAATCAGGTCCCAATGAAAAATGTTATATGGGGATGGCATTTTCTTTATTTACTTTGGATGTAGTAGTTGTCAACTAAAGTCAAAGAAAGACTATTACAGTAGGGTTGTCAAATAACATCAACATAAGATTATGGAATGAACGGGGCAAGGGGTGGTTTTCGAGACCGCAAAGGGAGGGATAAATACAGGAACAAAACGTTGCTGGTTGTAGTAAGTAAGCATGGTTCTAACCTCTTTCTCCGTTCAGATGAACCGTCAACATTGAGTCTTGTTCGGACGCATCTCTTATCGTGGTAAGAACCTCTTATAGGTTGAGAGTTGTTAAGTTGCAACTAATTAAACACGCAAGTAACCAGTCCCTTAGTTAAACTTAGCCAAATACTGAGGGTGCCAGAAGCCAAGATAAAATTGCAGAGGTGCATCACCCAAAAATGTTAGTGTGTTAGAAACCAATATCGATTAAAATTAATAAAGCATGAAGGACATCACTGAATGGAGATTAATAAGGAAATATATGATTAAAATAATCTTTTAATCACGAATCTTGAACCGTTTCATACGAGGATGGTCGTATTTTGCAGGTAAAGATGCTAGTAAAGCTCAAAGGATGGCTATCATTATTTCCATCATTTTGGTGATATTAGTCATTTCCATTGTCATGTTTATAATATGGAGGAGGAAGAAATCACTTGCAGGAAAACTTAAGAGTAAGTACCGAAACTACTGCTTATATTCATATCTGCTTGGTGAAACCACTTAAACTTTAATTTAATTGTTTCCTTACAACATTTCCTTAATACTTATGAATTTTTACTTCGTGCCTAAAGGGATTAGACCATTGTAAGCCATAGGTAGTTATACTCTTTATTCTATTAAGTTCCACAACCTTATGTTGCATTCTAGTAAGAGTATCTTCATGATCATAAGGAACAAAGGAATAAATGATAATGTTGCCTAAAGGCCTTTCATATTCAAAATAATTGAAATAGTTCTCGTAAAAGATGTCACACTCAACTTGCAATAATGTTGTAACTTCGTTGCGATGAAACCTACAACTAACACATAATAACAAGTGACCATACTAGAGGGATGAAGTTGTTTACACATATTCGATGAAATCACCTCCATCAAAAGCACATCTAGAATAATCAATCCACCATCATAAAAAATAGAGCCTTGTCTATAAAAGTTTATGGGTCTTATACATTAACAAATAGACCATGTCAATAAAAGTTCTAACACAATATTACCTTAATATTTCCTATTAATTGCATGAGGTCCCATCATGATATAAAATCCATTTATAATCATAAGTGACTGGGTTCTGTGAAACCCCTCACTTGGTACCATGTAACGTGAATTTTCTGCAGCCGTTTTATGGTGCAACCATATGCAGGGGAGGATCTGTATGCAATATGGTATCAAGCACAACCAAAGATTTGGTTCAATCACTTTGAAAATTTCCTTAATCCACCTCTGGCGACTTGTTTCATCGGGTGGCACCATAATTTTTTGAAGTTGCTTCTGAAATTGGTTGATTTTCACATCCAGATGTCCTTTCTCATTAGCAAGGAGATATTAGAAAATATAATTATACATGAAATGAGTTTGAAGTAAAAACCTACAAAAGTGCCTAACTCCTTGTACAAATAAAATTGGGCTATACATATTAAGAAACCCCACTATTTGAATGTGAGGATGAGGCCAAACGCTCAAACTAAAACGGAATTCAGTGAAGAGAGGTGATGGAAGTCCTTTGGTGAAGATTTTGACATACTGTGAAATGGAAGATATATGGAGGACTCGTGCACAACGTCCCCCACTTGATCACGAACAAAGTGAATGTCAATCTCGATTTACAATGTTTGTTGATGTTGAACCAGATTAGTTGAAAAGTAGACAACAGTCATGTTGTCACAATAAACAATGGTGGCCTTGGCATGTGGAGAGAAGAGTTCGTGAAGAAGGTTGCGAATCTATTAAGTTTATGCGACAACGTTGGCAACACTCTTGTATTCAGCTTCGGCACTGGATTGTGAGATCGTTGCTTTCTGCTTGGATGACTAAGATATGAGGTATGAGCCAAGGAAGATGCAACATCAGGAGGTGGACTGGTGAAAGGTGGGACAAACACCCATTCAACGTCTGAGTATGCCCCAAGCCCGTAGGTGGAGGAGGCATAAAGGTGGAGACCATGATTGRTAGTCCCACGAATATAGCAGAGAATCCACTTCAAAGCCCGTAAGTGAGGCTCCCATAAATCATGTTTAAATAGGGAAATTTTCTTAACGACATATGATATATACTGAAGTATACTCTGGTGAGACCATGGTGGAAGGGGGAATCGAAGACCGACAAGAGAGGACTAGCTAAGATTGCTTGTCCACGGGGTTCAGCAGGGGTTTTGATTTAACATATTTGGTTACTCAAGAATTTCAGTAACCTACTTTTTCTGGGATTTTTGAAGGTGGCACACATTCGGGATTAGTGGCATCAACAAAAATCGATGGTTAGTACATAAAGATGGTTTCTGTAAGTTGTCATAAAGAAAGGCATTTTTCATGATTTCAAACTTACTTGGTTTTAGTAGTCAACAATCTATGAAAAATACTTTTTTTTCACAGTTAAGACAATTTCCATGGCCTCGCTCCAAGAAGCATTATTCTCACCTCTTTGAATCTGTGAAATTGATATGAGGTCGGAACTATCCTAATGGTGCAAGACATATGGACTATCAACATCCATAGTAACATGATCAACTGGTTTCTTAGACATTCCAAATAAATTTTCAAAGCATGAAGAGATTTGACCTAATCAAGTCATGAAAGAAAAAGGATTAGATCTGACCAATTGAAATCTAATCAAAATAGGAAAAAAAAAATCAAGATCTAATCGAACAAGAACAAATCAAATTGGCAAATGAAATGAATGAGATTTGATCGAACAATGATTAGATTGAAACAACAAATTAGTCAGACTGATCTAAAAAATCAAGTCAGTATATCAAATCAAGTTAGTAGTTTAACTTGATCAAACAAGGATCAAGTGTTACTTGGAAGATAACGCTTGCGAAGTTTTAGCTCTAATACCATATTGTAGAACTAGATTGAGAGAGACAATGGATTTATCATTTTCTTATATTGAAATTAAAAGACATGGACACATATTTATACCCTCTACAAAAAACACCATCAGATGCAACTAACCTAAACTAACTAAGCAGACATAATACCAACTCTGTTATCTGCTTAGATGTCATGTTGACAAGAAGACTCCTTTTGCTGAGAAAAGAACCTCCGATGAAATACAGATTGCCTATCACAGTACCATGTGTGATACTCATAGAATAATGTCATTGACCGGTATGAAACCTTAATTAACTAAAAGAAGGGACAAGACTCTACGTGTCATTTCGAACCAATGCCGAGTACGCCTCAGTCATAGCCCTGCACCACTCAACAGATTTATTAGCAACAATAAAGGACGTAAGCTCAGTGTATGATGGGATCAACTGGGTAACAATAGATGTAGATGGGTGAAAGGGGACATAGGGTTTGGGATGTGGCTGTAGAGACATAGGATAGGTGCAGGTAGTGGGAGGGGGAGATGGAGTAGAGGATGGGGTAGGGGCGAATATGTCGATAGGATGCAACATGGTTGGGGATGTGGATGGAGGAAAAGTTTCAGGAGACGAAATATGGGTTGTTGACTGATGATTGTTCGACTCATCATGAGAGGTGGGAGAGGGATAAAGTACATCGATGGCAAAATCAGTGTGAAAATTGGGAGGGGATGGGGGAAGCAATCAGTGGGGTTATGGATGGGGAATGATCATGCTTAGAGGGAAACAATGTGTAATCAGGTAGAAATAGGAATAAAGTTTCATCAAACCGGACATTACGGGCAACATAGGAACGATTGGTTTGAAGGTCAAGACACCGATAAACAAGGGTCACACACGGAATGGATCAGAAGTCTAGATTATGAGCGTTGTATGAACGAAGGTAAGGAAAGCATTGACATCCTTGAGAAAGAGGTAGTCTGGTTGTTTGTTAACAAGATGCTCATATGGGGAGACAGACTGAGAGACACATGATAACATACGATTTACAGGAAAGTGGCAGTGTCGAATGCATAATGTCAAAATTGATGGGGAGCATTTCCTTGTGCTAAGAGGGTGAGTCCGATTTCAACAATGTGTTGATTTCGATGCTTAACAAATCCGTTTGTTTAATGAGTATTTGGGCTTGTCACACGATGGACAATACCCATAGTAGAAAAAAGGTGTTGAGATTTGGATATTCACCCCCATCAGTTTTGAGTTTGGAATTGAATTGACGTTCAACCATTGTAACAAATTTTATAAGCAATTCAAAGAGCGAGCCATGGGATATATAGAGCCACATATAACAAGAATAATCATCCACAAATAAAAAAAAAGTAACGATGGCCACTTGACGATAAACATGGAACAAGCCCCCAAACGTTACTATAAATCAAATCCAAAACCTATGTACTTTTAAAGGAGGAAAACGGTAAAGAAAACTTAGAAGACTTGCCAAATTGACAAGCGAAACAAAGTATGTAAAGTTTTATTAGACACGAGAAGGGAAAAAAAGACTCCACATAGACTTAAGCAAGCACAGATGAGGATGACCTAAAGGTTGATGCCAAATGTTAGACCAAGCATGTTCGAAAGAGAAGGAACCACGCTTAATGGACTGGAGTTGTGGGATAGTAAGAGCAGTGCGAGTATTTTGATCCTTCACAACAAATAAAAAGCGAGTGAAATTCAAAGAGGACATCATTGTCGGTGCAAAAGTTTTGTATAGAGAAGATTTTTTGAGATAGAGGGAACATGCAAAATATTGGAAATACGATATTTTTTGTATGGTGTGTGAATATCAGACGAGCCGACATGTAAGATGGGGAGTCTTTCACTATTACCAACATGCAGAGTGTTAGAACCATGTTACGTTTATGAGAAGTCTGAAAATGCCCGTTTATCAAGAATATTAAGAACATAAATAAGAACAACAGAGTAAGAGCAGTCAAAGGTTTTGCTCTGTTATTGAAGATGAAAGATGCAGAGCAATTTTTTACAATGCTTGAATGAATCATTATTGAAAAGAATAATAAACCTATCTATATAAAGAATTAAATAAACAATGAAACTGAATCTTGTAAACAAGGAAAGACAATCCTATATCTAATAAGTTGTTACAGGATCAACATTATCCTCTCGTTCAGAGTTAGAATAACTCTGAACTCAAGGTCTTCGGATTTTGTCTTCAAATTTGATGCTTAGGCACTCTACGTGTCTTCTCTTGAAATAACTTTGAAGAATGTCTCTTCAGACTTTGTACTTGTACTTCTTGAGAAGCTTTTACCCAAACTCTCAAGTCTTCTAGTTCAGAGATCTGAAGATAAGTCTTTCAAACATAGACTTAGTCGTGTGATCAATCTTTAGTTCAGATCTCTGGAAATCTGCGATTCAGATTTCTCAAGTCTTTTCTACAGACTTTTATTCTTAACAAATTTAGAAGCAATCTTCTTCATATCTTTCTAAGTCTAGACTAGAGAGATTGGTATGTGACTGTTTGCCCTTGGATACCAATTATGTGGCACAAATGAAGATGCTTGGGACTGATTAGTGCTAAAGTGAGTATTAGGCTGAGCATTAAGATTTTCTTTGTAGGTTGGACACTATGTTGGAATATGTTGAATTCCACATTGTTGACAATGTCTATACACGATATTTTGGTTTGATGCCCAACAGAAATTAGGTCCACGTGGCCGGCCTCCATGGGTGTTGGTGCGATTGTTGTTCCTGCCACGACCACCACGGTGTCCTCCACGATACCCATTGTTTGACGACTGTCAGTTTCCATAGAAGGCTTGTGGTGGTGAACGGATGGGCTCACCAATTTGAGGCTAAGAGAATCAACATATCCTTTTGCATGCAGTGACAGATTCATTATAGAAGACAACATATGCTTGTTTTTAGTGTAATTTCTCTGGAGTTTTGTTTGCCATAGAAGACAACATATGCTTGTTTTTAGGGTAAGTTCTCGGGCTCACCCTTTGTTATTAGTGTAAGTTCTCGGGAAAGGGCCGTTGGATCAAAGCACGTTGCTAGGCTCCCCAAATCTCGTGGGACGTTTGTTGGCCATAGAAGAGAACATATGCTTGTTCAAAGCTTGAGGGGAGTAACACCATCTTTACGAGGGCATCGTTTTCTTTCCATGTCGCATATCTGGGGTTTGCCTAGGTCTTGTTATTTGTTGTTGTATGTGGGGGGATATGAATCGATCCATCAAGGTATCTGACAAACTTGTTTGCTGAGAAGAAGGTTCCACCATGGTTTTCCAGAATTGGTAGTTGTCTCGATTGAGAATAAAGGCCCACCGGTGGGCAGATTGAGCAGATTTGCTGCCGTGGTGAATGTTGTGATTGATGGTGCCATGGTATTTGATCAAAGAAGAACGAAGTTGAGGTGGTTATGACTGCTGGACAGAGTTTGGCTGCCAGAACTAGGGCCGACGACAAGGTTTGTGATTAGGGCCGACTTCTTAATGGCTCTAATACCATATGAAACCTTAATTAACTTGAGATAATTTCCAATAGAGAAAATGGAAGCTAATACAAAGCATAAATAGGAGTAATAATTATAACTAAACCCTTAATTATGAGGTGTTTCTAAACATGGTTTAATAGTTTAATAATCTGCTAGCCAATAACATTGCACCATGTACCTTTTTCTAGAAGAATAATTAAGGCTCATGGCCCTTAATTTGTAAAATAAAAGAACTGAATACAAGCATTCTCATTCTCGACTTTAATATTTTTATCATTCTTATTTTAAAACATATGAAATACCATCATATATATACGTGTTATTCTTAAGCAGGTGAGGATAAATAAATAAAAACAACTCATGTAGTAATTTATGATTATTACTAATAGCTTTTAATTGACCACTGAAGAAGAAGTATTTTACAATGGGCCCATTAGCCTATGAATATTTAACGTTTGTACATACTCAGTAGTATTGGAGTATAATCATGTTCATGTTGCTTTAGGCATAATAAAGAAAATTTACATATAATCTTGCAACTACATTTCATGCTGCTTCTTAAAAAATTTCACATATGGCAGGTGAAATTATGGACATTAGCATTGTGGAATCATTGCACTATGATTTCTATGCTATTAAAGCAGCAACAAATGACTTCTCTGAAAAAAATAAGCTCGGACAAGGTGGATTTGGACCCGTTTACAAGGTATATGGAATACATGGTCATATACTGTCAAACTACAATCTTGACATTACACGAGTTCTAAAATTAAAAATGTTGTCATATGCAGGGTGAGCTTCCAAATGGACAAGCAATAGCTGTAAAAAGACTATTGAGGGATTCTGGACAAGGTGAACAAGAATTCAAGAATGAGGTCTTACTAGTCGCAAAGCTTCAACATCGAAATTTGGTTAGGCTCATTGGTTTCACATTAGAAGCAGCTGAACGACTTCTTATATATGAGTTTGTGCCAAATGCAAGCCTTGACCAATTTATATTTGGTATTCTAATAATTACATATTTATGTGTTATGTTTTTCTATATTATTTCTTTTTAAAGAAAATGTTGATCATAACAAATTCTTGCTACAACTTGTAGATCCAACTAAGCGTTTACTTCTTGATTGGGATACACGCTACAAAATCTTAGGAGGTGTTGCTCGAGGACTTCTTTACCTACATGAGGACTCACGTCTAAGGATAATCCATCGTGATCTCAAAGCCGCTAATGTCTTGTTAGATTCAAACATGAATCCCAAAATTGCAGATTTTGGCATGGCAAGGTTGTTTAACCATGAGGAAATTGAAGGCAACACAAATCGAATTGTTGGAACCTTGTAAGTATATATGCCACCATCCAATAAAAATTAGGGATTTGTAGTTTTTGATTCCATATGTTAACAATATGGATAAAACAACCTACCAAATTGTATATATCACCAACTTTTGGACAAAGGAAAATCAATTGAGTTATTACTGTAGCTAGGATTAATCTTATAAATGTGCTAATAAATAACAAATACTAAATTTTATATGTTGTACACCAATGTGTAGTGGATACATGTCACCAGAGTATGCCTTGCATGGTCAATTCTCGACAAAGTCAGATGTCTTTAGCTTTGGAGTATTAGTGTTGGAAATGGTCTCTGGTCAAAGGAATCAACGTTTTCGAAATGGGCAGTGTGATGAAGGCCTTCTTACCTATGTAAGTTTCAAGTAAGAGTACATTCAAGTCAAATTTCAAAGAAAATTTATATTCTCACAAATGTATATATATATATATATATATATATATATATATGTTAACCTCTTTCAGGCATGGAAAAGCTTGCAAGATGAAACAACTTCCAGTATGATAGATCCTGCATTGAAGGCAACAATGGGATCATTGCAACAAATAGTCAGAACTATCCACATTGGCTTATTGTGTGTTCAAAATAATGTTGTTGACAGGCCAACAATGGCTGAGGTTGTTCTTATGCTCAAAAGCTTCTCTCTTGCTCTCCCAATTCCATTTGAGCCAGCATTTTTCATGCACAGTAGCGGTGATGCCCAAATGACAAACCTTGTAGAATATGATAATTTTGGAAACATTAAAGGATCACAGCTTTCAGTAAATGATGCTTCAATAACAAATATAGTCCCTAGATAGTCTTGAAGAAACGATTTATATTTTAGGTAATTATATGTGGTCTTTTACATTATCACGTTAATTATTGTAATTTTATATGTAACCTATTCATTTATTTATTCCATTGCCCGTCTGAAATGTTCGAGTTTGTATTGCAATGTATATATATCAATCTACTTCCATCAGAAAATTGAATAATACAATCACACTTGCTACATTCATATGTTGGTAAGTTTAGTATCCAGATGATGACACTGCTTTCTTACGGATGACTAAACTTTGAAAAGGAACTGAATGAAAAGATCCATCTACATTTGAATTGCTCGAGTAATTGTTTCGATGAAAAATAATAACAACAGACGACTAATATAAACATCTGACACTCGTATCCTTGACATATGACCAATCTAAGTCATGATATACGATCATTTAACTAACTACACTTTTTGATATTTACAGTAGCATCCATAACCGAAGATTAATGATGAAGGATTCTCCCATTCATATTCAAATCATAACCATCGATCATGAGTTATGTATTTCTTCAACAGAGCAGAATATTCACTCTAGACATTATAGACATATATAAAGTATCAGTTACATCAAACATGGGTATAAATATAGTAATCAAATCAACTCAAAAGACGCCAAATTATTTATTACTCAATTACTCTAGAAAGACATTTGCATAGTTGAAAATCATTTTCAATTGTTATATATGATCATACATACCAGTGACATCCTGTAATAACGACATAAAGGATAAAAACGAAGTCCCTTTTTGACGTTCATAGTGCATTGACGATATTTTTGGTTGTCCACGGTTTTAATCCTTTACGTGATTTTCCACTACGTCAACCTTTCTTTATGTCGTTTCTTCTTATTTATCACAAAGGATTTTTCTTTAGTTGTTGCCTCACAATCCAACCTTAATTTGCCTAGTGAGATTTTTGGTAAAGTTAGTTTGGCTCCCACCATGGGGCCAACTAAGGATTTCCTTCAAGAAGTCTCTTTCTAACATATTATTCTGCAAGGTTTTTCATCAAACATGTCTTCGGTAGGGTTTGACCAAAATGTCAAGATCAGGATGCAAGCAGAACTTAAAGCTGGGTGAGTATGTGCGTAAATATTTTAACTGTTTGATTTATGAAATGAAATTGTAAGAAATTGTCCTATAAACTCAATTTTTTATAGAACACTTGTTTTTATAGGACACTTTTTCAAATAGTGTCTTATAAATTTGATAATGAGACTTTTTATATTATAAGTGTCCTAAAAAACTTATTACGCCGTCAAAAAACGTCATATAAACTTATTACAACACATTTAGATAAGACACTTTATTTTTTTGGTCCTATAAACTAAGTCCTATAAAGAGGTTTATTAGGACGCTTAGAATTTGGGAGTATCCTATAAACCCGATTTTGTTGTAGTGTAGAGAAACAGTAGAGTTACATGTCTATAAAATACAAGCAAGTAAGACCAAGAGACATGTTCTAATATGGATTCTAAGTACTATTACAAAGATAGGGAATTAAAGCTTCCAACACCTAATAGTTTTTTTTTTTTAATTAACGTGGATATCCAACCCGCGATACGAGTCGACTAATCCTAGAGCGACCACCTGCTTTGCAGATAGTCCGGAGTCACCGTATTTGAACCTCCGTGGCCACAACGGGATTTATTTTTCTCCTTGGATTTGAATCTTAGACCTCCTGGTACTTTTGACCTTTGGAGTCAAGCTCAAACCAATCAGACACCACCCTTGTGGTTTCCTAATAGTTTCTTTGAAGCAACCCTAGATCTGATTTCATAATGTCCCTCTTTGTCTTTAAGGTAACTCTTTAGTAATTGGATAAAACTTGATCAGAATCAAAAGCAATATGAAATCCATGAGTTTAGCCAATCTGATTACTCTTGACATTGAATTCTTCACAAAGACCAATACTTCCCTATACTTCATATGTCTGTTATCAAGAGTTCCCAAGAAATTCCCTAACTCCCACAGATCAAACTAATTGAAGTATTGATAATCATCTTCGGTAAACATATACTTCTTTCAGTCCTCTGTAACAACAATCTGACAATCCTGTGATTTCAATAAACTGTTGCATGTTACTGTTTTCTACCTCAAGAACATAGAATAAATTACCTTGAAGGATTCTGCTTTTCAACAAAAGTTGTTTGAATGTAATCAAGATGTTGAATCTCATGTGGCATTCTAAACATGTCTGCAAACTTTACTTACTAGAAACTAGGTTTCAAAAGTAATGACTTTCTTCTTCTTCTTCTTCCTCTTCAAAAGAATGTGCTAGTGCACAGGCCACCTTAATTTTAGTCGGAAAAAAATTAGGTGCGTCAAAAGAAGCATCTGCTTTTAATTATTGCGTGCTTCCCTAATAAAATAATAAGTGGTTGTAGGATACTTTCCATTTGGTTTTAGGGTAACAACACCAAAAAGTAAGAAAAAGCGTCATCGGAAAAGATTCCGGCGGCCAATTTTAGTATACAATTCAACCCCCACCATATTTCTGTCCTCAACTTTCTTATGTTATACTCCCTCACAAACACTTCTCTCCCACATAAAAGAGAGTCACAAAACCATGGTAATGCTCACCGGTAAACCAGTTCTATTTTCTCTTCTTAATTTCATGTTCCTAAACATTGTTCTCGTCAAAGCCCAATCCGCCGAACAATTTCTTTTTCTGCCTAAACGGTAAACTTTTAAATACGTGTACTAAGATACGAAGGCTCCCATCAAATTAGTTGATTTACATGATAAAGAATTAGCTATTTTGAGACAATTTTAATATCGATTTATTAACATTGTTTGGTTTTTATGATTATATTTGGGTTGCGTATTTTATATGTTATACACATTAAATAATTATTTTATTAAAGTATTTGTAGTTTTAAAAAACTTTAAAAGAGCATTTTGGTCATTTATCAATGTTTTATTTCAATTCCAAAGCTACATTTTGTGAACCAAACAGACAGATTCTATTTTTTTAACAGATTTCATTCTAATGTTTGTCTACCAAATAGATGGTCAAACAAGACAACATTCCATTTCAATTCCTTCAAAATCAAATTCCTTTAACAGATTTCATTCCATCCAAAAATATTATGTGAACCAAACGCCACATAACTGTCTCCCTAAACTTGTTTTAGGAAGAACACTAAAAAGAACAGATACATGTCCCTTTACATTTTAATAACCTAATTATCTCAAATTAAAATCCACCTATACAAATCATGACAAGTAAAAACAACACATACTTTTAAAATTTCCTACAACAGTAAAAAATTGACCAATCAGTAAAGAAATCACCGGAGTGATGAATTATCCCAATCTTACATTTTCTATATATATGGATAGAGGACTGTGCATACAGGGTCTTAAGAAAATATTTACCCCCATTGTGTTGTAGTTCCAAATGTTGCCTGGAGGATACACCGGGGCAGATCCAACTTTTAAGCATCGGGGGTAAGACTCCTAGTCAAAAACCAAAAAACTTTGTTGATTAGATTAAATTTTCTAATTTCACTCCGTATTACATGGTTTCCCCTAGTCCCATATGGTCATATGCTTCCTTCCCCCAAGTCCCATCCAACATGTCGCCATCCCATTAATTTTCTGGATCCCACACTAGAATACACCTATGGAGTTAATATGAGATCTATAAACCAACACCCATAAGGCTCTATCTTTGGCCCATTAAACATATGTAATCATGTATATCCACAAGCACTTTCAAGATCATGTAAGTCCATTTTTCTGCGTATGAAAAGAATTCTAATTGGGGTTTTAAATTGGTAGAAATGATCAACTAGTATTTCCCATGATTCCGAGCCGGAGTATACTTCTATTCACCGATTAAGAATGAACTAATTCTTTAAGTTTGCTTAACATCCCTATTTTTTTGAGAAAGGAGAATAGGAACGAAAAAAAATCAAAAGACTGAATGGAATTGGACTAGAAAAAAGATATTTTTTTCTTTCATTCTCTATATAGAAAGAGAATCCTTGCCATGATTCAATCCAGCGTCTGATTGGATTTTGTACCGGAAATGTTAGGTTGAAATATATATTGATATTGCTAAAATAAATATTTTATATAAGGATTAGGTTATTACACAACAAAAAATAATTTCAATTATTAAAAGATAAGGTAAATTCATAACCACTATGTTTATACATATATCAGACAAAATTTCATTGTCTAATGAGGACCTTAAAATGAATTTCATTTTGTCTCTATCTATCCTACAAACATATCAACAAAAATAATAACAGATGGGTCCTTTGATTTATTTGACACCTTTGAGGAGCCATATGAGAAGAAAATCTCATGTACGGTTTTGTAATAGAGATGGGAATATTGATTTTATCATTGACTATGATTATCTAATGGTATAAGTATAGTTGATATAGTTGCAACGTAGTCAAATTATGGTTTTTGGGAATGGAATTTGTGGCAGCGACCGATAAGCTTCATTTTTTGAAGTTATTCTTCACTCTTTTTAAACCCGTTTTCACCCATTTTGAGCCTCTCTATTCCACCGAATTGATAGTAAAAATGACATTATATCAGGTACACCATTGTGGTCACAATGTCACATCTGTGGCGAACAACTGCATCAAAAGATATTTCTGTAGATTTTTACTATCAATTCGGTGGAATAGGGAGCATAATTGGACCAAGGTCAACTCTGAGATTTTCATGGATGGAGAGGGAAAAGAGACAAAGAAGATAGGACAAGTTTGAGGAAGAAGACATCATTGAAATGTCACTTTCTTCTCTCTCAAATCCATTTCACACCCTTTCTCTTCTTCACCTATTTAAACGAGCTTGGCATTTCATATTGGGGCACGCTTGGACGTGGATTAGAAGCTGAGAAGTATCATTTTACTTTTGAATTTTAATTAGCTTCTTGTAATTTAATATTCGAATTTTTAGTTGGTACACCATTGTGGTCACTGTAACACCCTTAAAATAGGAGATTATTTAAATTGAATAC